TGTTGTTTGGTTTGTTGTTTTTTGTTTTTTTTTTTAATTTGCAGGTGCATGTTTACCTTCTATTTAACTAACATGCTACTCGCACATCCAATTTATTTACTTCTTACCTGAATGTTAATAGGGCCAAATCCTGGGAAGGCCTCTAATGCAGGGAAAATTATTCCACCTCCTACAAAGATTATATAAAGCTGCACTTAAAGTATTTGCCATAAAGATGTAAGAAGACAGAAACGTTCCCAGCACAAATGGGCACCCATGTATTCAGCTCTAATGAAAGGGCTGAGATTTGCCCTGCCTTGCTTCAATTCACATCTTCAAACATCTTCCCCAGGACGTGTTACTCGCAGGTATTCTTTTTTTAAAGAAAATATCTAGAAAACATACTCCAGCTTACAAATGCTCACACACACGAGCTGTGCTATGCTTTCAGCGGGACTGAAACACCCACTGGAATAAAAATTTAGAGGTTCACCATTTTGAAGCGGACATTTAGGCGACATTATTATCAGTTAGTAAAGAACTCAGTCCATAATAATGGATTTTCTCCTTATAGGACAGAATGAAAGCATCAGATCTTAAACAATGCTAAATCCAGTAGTCTTAACAGGTTATTTAGGAAAAAAAAACCACCCACATTTACATTATATATTTGGAGAATACATATATATTTGGACTATATATATATATTTGGAACATACTATACATCGCTGAACACAACACACCCCCGGGTGGGTTTGGTTTTTTTTAAGAGCTCTATTAATTGAAAACAATGATTTGTTTTCTCCTTTGTAAAACGTAAAAAGCATAGAGTTTTGTCTTTAAAATATAGTTGTCAAATAGCAAGGGGTATATATATGCTAACATTTACCCAAGGGGTATTTCAGGGCTAGAGTCTGTTACAAATAAAATCTTTATTCATATGAACAGCTACCTGGGGGGCAATACTGGATGTTACACATAATATTTATACATATATATTTAAAATAATCTAGCAGTGCTATTAAAACAAACTGGAAGCTACACTGTATTTAGTCTCTCTGTTTTGCAGATCTAAGTCTTACACTACCAACTTTTGGGGTTTTGGATTACTTCCTGTAGAGGATAGTCCCTAAAATATGAAATGCTTTCATCTAGTGTGTCATATCAACTGTTTTATTACTTGAAATTTAGAAGGTTGTTCATGGTAATAAAGAACAGTATTACGGAAAAAAGCAGCCTTTTTTTTATTATTATTATTAAATTCTGCAACTGTATTTTTAAATTTGAGAACTTTCCTTGAATTAAGAAGAAATAAAAAGGCCAAAAAATATGGGGTTTGTTACGTGTTTTCCAGAATTACTGAATAGTCATTATGTGCTATGGAAAAAAACTTTAGACAAGATCAGACATTTATCAAAGAATTGAAGCTGTCTGAAGCAAGTTGGGAGACAAAGCAGACAACGCGGCAGCTCTGCAGACTGCCAGCAGCCTGTGAAGGTCACGGCTCTCTGCTGGACCTTCCTCATTTACGGAATGAAGATGATAATATTCCATCAACTGCTAACAAAACTCTGTGATTGTTGAAAAACTTGCCTAGAAAAAGCCGACAGTAATTCTGCCCTTTCTCAGCGCGTTTCAAATGCTGTGATTTGGAAGTTCCCACCACGAGGATGAAACTCCTTGTACTAATGCAACATCCAAACAGTCACCTTCTGCCCAATTAAGGAAAAATCATGTGAGTCTTTGTAGAGCAATTAAGAAAGCTCTTAATAATCCTCAGTCCTGTGGCTGCTGTACATCAATACACTAGACCATTTTGAGTTTACTAGCCAAGTATGCCACCTTTAAAAACTCTCCTTATGGCCTTCCAAGGTGGAGGGACTTGCTGCATATCTGATCTTCCCTATTCATCAGGGCTTCTGTCCTCCTTTAAGGAGATGAATGAAGATGTGAGCTGGTTTAACGACATACTGCACAATGAAGCCACGAGAACAGCAAAGCAGCATTTTTCTAGAGAAACACAGCACAACATCAGGGAACTAACATAAATCTGTGCAGTGTTGCAAATAAAATACTAAGTGTCTGATACCTTCTGTAATAGGTACATGTGTTCCCCTTGAAGGATGAGGACATCTTCTCCCTAGGACAATTCTGGGTAGATCTCCTCATTCTTGCACAGGAACATCATTTTATTGCACACCAAGATATAGGTTCACAAAAGTTAACGGTAGATGCACTGCTCGTTACCAATTCAGCTTTAATTCTCGCTCAAGGGAGTACACGTCTATTCTCCGATAAAAGTATTTGCAAGTTCATCACAGAAACTCTCTGGTCACTGCAGAGCATCTGAATTTAACATCTACGATTCTGCACCGTGCACTCTGCTTCAAAAGCATTTTTTAAGACTGTTCCTTAACTCACTGAACATCACTTGAAAACTAACAAACCTGCTTCCTTCCCATAATCAGCTTGTATGAATAAAAGTATAGATCTTTTAAAACGTACCTATACTACTGCTGGATAGATGTACAGCAATATCAGACTTATTAGCATCAATATTATTTCTCATGCATACCCACACCTTGAAATAAAGTACGGTTTGAAATGAAAAATTTAGTAATGCAGCTCCATTACCAAAAGTGTTTGCACTCGAAATATTTGTGACCTTTCTGTATTATTAAATGCCCAAACAGAAACAAGGTGTTTACGAGATGTCACATTTACGCAGGTCACTTGTAAAAGAAAATTTTTATTCTGCCAATAATGTCAATATTATAAATAATGCAAATTTGGTATTTCCCACAACCTCACGAGAAGGATGAAATATTTAAACGTGTTATTCAAAACATACACTCCTGCCAGTTTGCAATGAGAATTTCGTCTTAAACTACTACCTGGGAAGCAGACCTTTAGTGGTTACTAGCAAGCCAGAAACAGAAGAATCAATGTTAATTTTAATCAATGTTTTTTCTAATAGGAAATTCTAAATTTCTAAAGGAATTCTAAAAGGAATAGTCAGCCTTATTAGGTTGCAGTCTGATGCACTTATACTTTCAATTTAATAAAATACTTGAAACATTCAATTACAGAACAAACATTAAAAAATGTGCAAGTAAAGTAGAAGGTACCTCTAATCAGTTTTCCTCTCACCAGCCACATCAGCCCTTGTTCCTAAAATTTTATCCTTCCTGTCAGGATAAGGTACATAACTCTTTTTTAAAGATCGCATCTTTGTGAACTTTGACTATTTGATTCTGTCTGATCAAACCCTAACAGCAACAGCAAAGAAAAAGCTTCCCTCTCTTTAAGATGCTCTATTGGTTAGATCAGATTTATTTGCTGTCAGTAAAGGTTATATTTGCGCATAAGTCTATGACAGATTGCAAGTTTATTATCTTCAAGTGAGTTTTCAAGCTGCTGGGTTGAGGGTTTTTTTTGTTGGGTTGTTGGGTTTTCTTGTGAGGTTTTGGCTTTTTTTTGTTGTTGTTGTTGTCATTCCCTCCCCCTTCCTCCAAGATGTGGGTTACTTGACAAATTGGAGTTAAGTTATCTTAGGTCAATGTAACTGTAAGTTAAACTAATGAAGTGTATGTCTATGAGTGATGTCTGATTAGTTTAATACAGTTAGTGCTGGACAGCTTGGGCTGCTGACCTTGAAGGAACACAGATAACATTGTGATGCGTTGGAGGATGTGGTTGCGATACAAGACAAATTTACATAACAGTTTGTCATATACACTCCTCCAAAACAAAATCGTTGCAAAAGGAAAGCAATAGGAAACCAACGCTAAATGCCTCGCACAAGACAAACCGGGGAAAATTAATTATAACATTTGGCTTGGGATGGTAGCTTATTTTAAAAGCAAGCCAAAAGCACAGAAAAGGTGTACGTTTATATAGTACGCATTCCAAAAACGGATTAGACGTTGTGTCGGGTAACACTGTTCAAACGCAGCCTTCTGTAGCACTAGATCTTATCTTGAAAACTCATATTCCTTCCCCAGCCAACTATATGCCTACTTGCTCTGAGTAACAAATACCAGATCCAGTTCTGAACTGGATGCGGTTAACTGGATGTGGATCCAGTTAACCAGTCAGCGCATCTTTTAGGTGTGCTCAGAGCCCCGCTGAAGTTCATTCTGTGGCTGAAGAGCAGCTGCTCGTGCTAAAACATCCCCGTGCATGAATGGTCTCTCTCCAGGAAGGCGCAGAGTCAAGCGAGAGCTCCTTCGCTACCCAAGCCACGACGCT